TTATGGCTTAAGCTGTTTCGGATTCTGCCCAGAAATTTATGCGCCATCACTTTGGCCTTTGATCCCGGGTGTTTCTGCATTTGTGTGCTGCTTCCGCCCCAAATCCCTTAAAACCTCAAAAAATCTGAAACTTTCCCCCTACCGCCAGGCAGCCCCCCCCAGCCATCCAGGCAGGAGGATCACTCATTCATTTTGTAGGAATTGCCTGGAGCGTTTGACTTTGACTTTGGCTTCGGATTTAAACTGCTCTCGACCTTTGTCAAAAGTTTTGAGGCCGAAAACTTTGTGGCAAAAATCAAACTGTGGATAATGATGAATGCGGTGGCCAGCACTTTGTGGCCTAGTGCTTGCCTGGGCCCTTGGCCCTTGGCTCATAACACGTGGACCTGCTATTCTGGTCCTGAATAATTAACGCATCGCTGGGCAGCATTCAAGCCGGACTCGTGCGGCATCCCATCGATGTGCCAGTCCCGGCTGTCATTGTAGGAAGTCAATTTACATTTCGATTTTGCTGGTGGACTTCTCAGACTTTCCCTTTTTTTTGTCAACACTCGTTGACCCTCGCGTGTCGCTGGGCAATTTATGGATTTTTGCGAGATTTATTTCGGGTCGGTTCGGGTAGGGTTCAGTGATTCGCCGGGTTCGGGTTCGCCGAGATTTATGCTGCAGTTGTTTCCTGCTGCGTGCCGCCTTATTAAGGCTCATTAAGGCAGACTCTGGCGAACAAGTTCCGGGAAAAAAAACTATCAAGTCCGAGGACGGAGCTGCAGGGGAGGCAATAAAATATAAATACCATCAGTATTTCTCATGATAAAAACTGGGGCGCGATTTACCGTCAACAGCAACAACAAGGATGATTCTTCATAAACTCATAAATTTAGTGAAAAATGGCAAATCGATTGCGTTCCTTTGCGGTCATTGTTATTACAAAACTGTCAGACCAGACCCAGCCAGATCCCAAGTGGAGACCGGGTCCGTGTCCCTGGGAAAGTGTGGGGCAAATGCATCCTCTCCCACGTTTGGGGCCAGCTCCGCAAATCCCTCTTGATAAAGTGCTTTCTTTCGGGCAGACCTCCGGCATCCAGCATCCAGTGACTGGCAAGTTGAAGCGCTTTTCCTCAAGTGTCGCATTATGGCCATTCTCGGAGGCAACGCCTCGATGGCTCCGCAGTTTCCAGCTCAGTTCGTTTTAGTGGCGGATTTGGCATTGGGAGGCGACCAGATTTATGCAGCTGCTTTCATGCGTAATTATTTGCTGACATCTTAATAGTTTTTCCAAGTCCTTTTAGCCGCTTTGACTTTTATTTGGGGAACTTTACAGCCGAGAATAGCTGACAATCGGATTGGCTCTGCTTGAAATTGGGGGCACAGAGCAGTGTATTGCAAAGTAAGCTTCATAAATATTTCAGATCCTACACTTAGGCATAATTGTTTCAAGGAAGCGTCCTTTCTTTTTTATTTGCCCGTTTGTGATCCGCTGTCTGGGGCTGTCTAGCAGCTGGCAGCTGGCATCTGTCACCCACACACATATATGTAGCACAGGCAGAACGTATAGGAGGTCTTTTTAATGGTCCCCCCGTTTAACGACATTGCCAGAGGCCCCATAAATAATACAAATAATAGGAACGCAGAAATATAAAATTCGTTTTCTTATTCGAAGCCTTCGTCTTCCGCTCCTGGTGTCGCTCCTGTCGCCGCTCCTGGATCTGGTTCTGGTACTACCTCTCATGTCGCTCTGGCAATTTGTCGTGTGAGCAACTTTTTGATAGGCCGCACCACGCTTTGGCCGATAAACCCGGGACTTTCCCTCGTCTCTCCATTTCGCTTTCCTCTGTGCTTTCGCTGCTTTCCCCTCTCTTCAGGCTAAAGGAAAAACAAGCTTAAGTCCTTGTCGTCCTTGGCGAGGCGACGCCACCTTGGGGCTTTTAAGTTTGACGCTCGTTTATAGACTTTGCACACTTTGCATTTACTTTACGGCGCCGCTGATGCGGCTGATAATAAGACCGCGCGGCGTATGCGCATTGCCAGCAAAGCCACGGCCCAAAACACAGGAAAACAATGGGAAAAAAACGAGAGTTGAGCAAAGTTTTCACAGCCCGATACACACACGCCTCAGAGACACCTAGGCCCGCTTCAGTTCCGAACGAGATGGAGATGGGGTCTGGGTCGGGTCCGGATTCAGCTTCCGGCTCTGATGGCAGCTCTCGCTCTCGAGCATTGCTTTTGTTTTTACCGAAGCTTGTTTTATAACTTTTTGATTGTCTTTGCGCCAAATTTGTGCAAAATTGTTCCAAGTCCTGTTCCAAATTCCGCTCACCTGCGGCTGGCTTGAGCAAATTGTTCGACTGGGTATGGGGCAAGCCCCATGCATTACGGCGCCGCAAGTCTGCCTGCCATGTACGAGTATAATATTTGCCTTAATCTGATTTCTGCCACTCAACTTAACTTCGACAGCACACGGAGTGGGTATGGGTCGAAACTTTGCCCGTGGCAAAAGCAACAATTTATGGACCGCTTACAATATTTATTTCGATTGGAAAGGCCAAGTTTTCTCTGCGTTTTTCTTTCGAGTGGAGAGTCCATTAAAGTGCAATGTCAAACGGCTGTGGATGTGGATGTGGCTGTGGCTGTGGCTATGGCCGGGGGCCGAAGGGCAGACTGCAAAAAACTTTCATTAGATATGCCAAAAGCGTCTTTGCACAGCAGCACGGTACTCACTTCCCCGGGCCCTGGGAACTCGGCCCGAAGAGGAGCTGGCTTTGTCAAAGTCATCACATGTCATATGGCAGACAGGCGAGGCAGGCGGCCAGGCACAGGCATGGCCACGCAGTCAGTTAGTCGGCTGCAGGCTATAAGGGTCTATCTTGCTGCGTCTCTCTCTATCTCTCTCTGCTCCGATCTGTCGTTGCCTGTCGCCTGTGTGATATGTAGGTCCCCAAACAGACATCCCCAACTACATCTACATCCACATTTACTTCCACATCTCTGGCTAGCCCGCGGGGCAGGAGCAGGAGCAGGGGCAGGACCAGCCCTGCCATTGAGGTTGCACCGAGTGCACACACTTGCCTTGTTATGACTGTCCCAGTCCCCTTTGCCGCAGCCACTACTGGGTCTCACAATTATTACATTTGTATGGACATGTGGCCACATTAAGTATACGACGCGAAGGCCAGCCATCGCCTCAGGCTGTTGCCTCGACTCCTGCTCCTCCTCAGCTAATGTCGTCGTCGTCGTCGCTGAAGTGGCTGTTAGCCAGTGGCTTGACACAATATTTATTCAAATGTGAATTTCATGATGCAGCTTACTGTTTAGTTAGTCAAATTGATTTATGTTTTGCTTTAATTTCGAAACGCCATTCGCCATCAAGAGCAGTGCAAACAGAGAACGGGTTGGCCCTGCAGAAGCAGAAGAAGCATTCGATGAGCGTATTCCCGTCACGTGCGCCTTTTGTTGCTTGTGTAAATAAGTGTTCGGCAGACTTCACAACTCAATTAAGCCGTCAGCCGAGCGAGTGCTGAGTGGCCCAACTAATGAAATCCACTCCACTCTGCACCGATTCGATCCAGCAACCCACCCAGCACTCGCCCAATAAATAATTCAATCAGAACAATTTCAGTACAGAAAATCAATAATAATCGCATCAAGTGTCTTCGGGCAGTTTCGATTACACTTTCCGGATCTGAAGCAGAAGCAGAGGCTGAAGCTGGAAGTGGATGTGGAGTCGGAGATGGCAACGTGTTTAAATTCTTAAGAGCCCATACACTCAACCAACCACTCAACAGCCGGAGCTGCTAATCTTTGTCGGGGGTCGGGGTTCGGGGAAACTTTTGCTTTCACTGGCATCGTCTCCATAAAGATTCATTTCCTTTAATGACTTGAAATTGATTTCACTGTGGCATCGGCGCATTTTATATGACGCCACTCCATGTATCCTTGCTCCCTTGCCGAAGGAGAGGTAAAATGCTGGCGTAAAATGGCAAAAACGTGCTTTACGACAGGATGATCTCCTTCGTTGGGTTGGAGCTGCTGATGACGCTGCCGCTCCTGCCGCGCCCCCTGGCGAATTAATTTTTCAGCAATTACGTTGCCAGCGACAACGGGTAATAGATACAAGCCAGGATTCGGGAGTCAACGAGTCAGCGTGTTGGGAGCCAGGATCCAAGTGGGGGTCGGAGACTTTGAACCGCTCCGCCACCGCGCAGTTGTGTTTTACGAGCTGCTCATTGGGTTTTTGATTAACTTTAGCCCGAAATGAAGCTGTAATGAAATTTAATTTTGTGGCATACTTTCCGTCGCTCATTGGTTCGTTAATCAAATCAAATTGCCAAAGGCAATTCCCATTAGCAGCGACATTTCGCATTCATCGCGAGTTGCAAGTGCTGCAAGTGCCGATCCCTGGAAAGCTAACCATTCACAATTTATTAAAATTAAACTTGTAAACTGCCAGACCACCCAAGGCCAAGGCATGGGCACTCGCACTGGCACTGGCACTGGTACTGGCACTCCCTCCCATTCGATCGAGCCAGACCGGACCGTAAAGGAGGAGTATGTATGTTTATGGAGTAAATAATCGAAGCGTGCACCATGAATTATTCATGAATCTTATGGAAAAGCAAGCAGCAGTCAGAGGTGGCAGGTGCTGAGAATGTGTCCGGCTGCTGCCCCTGCCCCTGCCCCTGCCCCACCCTATGTCGCACCAAGTGCGTGACATTCGACTTTCTTCAGAGTCGAGACCCGTGCCCCATTTGCAATTAGCCAGCGGCAGGTTTACTCTTAACTTTTTTGCATATGCAAACCCCAAGCTAAATGCCAATATTTTATAAATAAACGAAGTTGTCGTTGGGTAAACTTTGGAAAAACTATTCATAAAATATTGATCGGCCAGTCCCAGGATGCCTAAGTTTTCTTCCCAACTCAAATTTTAGGGAATCCAAACCAACAAAACGGAGAACAATCAGCCACAAAATGGTAAGCCGAAACATGATTGGAAATGTACTTACTTATTGGCTTTGTATATAGTAATCCTAAAAGTAAAACGATTATCCAAAACCTATGCATATTTCCGTATTGGTTTGTTCCAGCTGAAATGGCAATTCGATGCAGAAGTTCCGCCCCTCTTTGCAAGTGGGTTGAATTTTGGATTGGGGTTGGGTTCGGAATAGGTTTTGCAATTGGATTGGTTTTGATTTTCCTAAAAGCACACAAAACGCTTCAAACACAACGAGTTGTTGGCCATTAGTCAATGCAGAAATGCGAATATCAAAAATCGAATGATTTCTTGCCCGATCAGGCCACTGATTATCTTCACAAAATCACTGGCAGTGCTTCCTTTGGAGTTGCACAAAATCGGTGGCTTGTTTCTGATTTCGTTTTGGGGGTTCTACTTTGGCACCACCTCACAAATATCGATCGCAGAGTTACATGTTTGATTTCCCGACGATTGATGCACGCGCGCAGTTAATTAACTCGGGGGCAATCGCATCGCGCATCCCCGGAGGAAAGGATTCGGCTGGGGCAGATGTCCTGCCAGTCACCCACTCTTCTCCCACTCTCACTATTCTGATGGAATTCGCACTCGGAAATTTCACTTTCGCACTACACTACACAACAGGCTTGCGGAGCTGTTGACTGACTCCGGACTGAGGTTGGATCCGGGGCTGGTTGCATGCGCGCACTTGTTGTGCTCGTCGCAAGCGTTTATCCTAGACTGAAGTGGCAAGCGAAACGGAACGCACTGCCTGGCTGGAAAATCGACGGGCTGAGAATACTCCCACACCGACGCCTCCACACCAGAGCCCCCAACGTGGGAGTCGAGGCATTCCAGGGAAGTGCACACCCCACGAACCCGAGACACGAACACGAGCACGAGCACCAGCCGCGCCAGGCACGAGAGAGCGAAAGCTCAGGACGAGAGCTTTTCCGCTCAGTTATCCGGCCAGTTGTTGCGCTACGGCAACAGTTCCTTGGCCTGTCCCCGCCCAACGCCGGTTCCAGCCAGCCCCCCTCTTCTTGAAAACCCACTGAATCAACAGGCTGCTAGATGGCCCAGGCCTCTTGGCCCTGTCCGTTCGACTGTGTGCGGCCAAAGCAGCCGCTTTAAATGCATTAAGTGTGGCCTGGCCCTGGTCCTTAGCTCAGGCCATACAGTACCGTTTATGGCACGTCCAGAAAATGGCCTTGTATTTTTTAATTAGTTAAGCAGTTGACTTTTATAGCTCTCTCAATTGTGGAGCACACATATAATCATAGTTTATATTGAGTTTTCTAAGAATGCTTATTCTTGAATGACTTGTACATATGTATATTATTGTGGTTGTCTCTGTTTTCTAGTTCATTAAATAGTCTACTATACTCAAAATACAGCTTAGATATTATAATATGCAAATCAGGAATAACCAATTATATTTCATTCAATGACATGACCCTTATTTTGTACTCAACTCCTTCCGTAGTTCTTGATTGTGCTCTTCCGACACGTTTCTGTTGCTGTTTCTGTGTAAGACCTTTGACAGCTCATTACTCATTCCCACTAATATTTGTGTATGTTGACAGCCATTCTACGGTCTTGCCTACGGAACTGCCTCAAGTCGTGCCACTGCCACTGTCTCGAGATGTTTCGCGTAACATTTAAGTTTTGATGGAATAAATGAACCCCCGGAATTATTTATGCTAATTAACCATTTAAATTGTCCCCACATACAGACAAACGCGTGTGCCTCAGATCCATCTCCGGCACGTGCAGTACCTGGCGGCGGTTTCTGTTTTATTAGATTTCTACTTTTTAAATTAACGAGAGAGTCCCGTCATGGCGTCTGGCCGTAAACTTTTATGTCCGGCTTAAACGCAAACACACAGGGAAAGTCTGACCCGGACGAGGATCAGGACCACCACCAGCCCCCCTGTATGGTCATTTAATTTTCGCCGCGTCTGTCCACTTTTAATTACAAACAATCAAATCTGTTTGCTTTTGTTTCCTTTTTTTCCGCCGTAGTGCGAGAACCGCGATGGCAGCTAACATCAACCCCTGCCCCAGTTATGGTCGTAGTCCAAGCTGTGGCCGGCGGGACTGGATGTGCCGGACATGGGCCACATCATTGTCATAGCTTCGGTGACAAGTGAACAGCAAGGTCTCTGGACAAGGTTTCTGCATTGTGCACTGACCAGGCTAAAGCCGCTCAACGAGTGTGTCTGCGTGTGGGTTCGGGCCAGGCTGTCATCATTAGGGACCACAACAGCAAAAGTTGACATTGCGCTAAATGAGAAAACGGTCGGTCACTGCTCGGTCCCAGTCCCATTTCCAGTCCCATCCGCTTTTCCCATCCACACTTCTTGTTTGTTTTAGTACTATGCTTGTGTATGTGACATATATTTTGTCTAACGTATTAAGTCATAAAAGGCGTGGCCGTTGCTAATTTGAGCAATAATTTAGTCCACCTTTCATATGAAGAAATTCACCATAGACACTCTTCAAAGTCTGATCAACCCATTTCTGTTTTAGCAATTGGAAAATGCTCTAAAAATCCACGAAATCCTTGAAATCCATTAAATGAAATACCCCTCTATACACAAATCGGAAAATAAACCAGGAAAACAAATCATGTCACAAGCCCCGTCAGCACTCGGTCAGGGCCATCCCCCCAGTACACGCTGTACAAATGCGAGTTTCCTGTTAGTTTTTCTGTCTGCACATAAAATGGGAAATAGAATAAATGCCAACAGTCAAATTCTCATGCCTATTGCCATTTCATATTTGCTTATGCAAATGCGGGGAAAATTTTTGATGGGCGAGTAATTGTGTATGTTTGTGCTCCGTGCATTTAGCTGTCCTGCAATTAAAATACAACTAAAAACCATTTTAATAACACAAATTCCCACCCCTCTTGGGCATCAATGCGGAAAATGCTGATGCGATGTTCGAATGGTGTTCCCGTTTGGGATTTCTGTGGAATTTCATCGAGTGTGAAACTGAAAGAAGGCCAAATTTCGAAGTCTTTTGGGGGGCATTGCACGCGCTGAGCTGGAAATTTCGTGTCTCGGGCACGGCCACAGGCACGGGGGTCGTAATATCCCATTGGCTGCGGGGGCCATGAGAAATTTGTTCCAATAAAAAAGCAAGCGCCTGTCATGCCCCCAAGCAATTTCCAGCGCTCAGCCACATAGCGACCGTGCCCCACCGAAGGTGCCCTGCTGCTCGACGGGTATTTGGTTAGGATATGTTGAAGAAGGCGAAGCGATGCAGGCCAAAACCCGAGACACACAAAAGCTCGGCCGGCTTACGCTTTTTTTGGGCTCACTCACTCGCTTAGTCGAGCAAAGCAACGGGAACAACGGCAAACAAAGCTCATTTACACGGGAAATAGCCTAAGTGCAAAAACCATTTAAATGCAAATTAAGCACAAAGTGAAAACATGTGAACAAAGCACTAACACACACTCGGGCATACGCGCGCACGCACAGAGGCATGCATGTGGCTGCCACATACTCGAATCCGGTGGCAGGCTTCGGCTTCTGGCCATGGCTTCGACGGTGCCTTTGGTTCTGCCCCAAACTTTGCAGTTGCTCTAAATGTAAAATAGTTTAGCGCTGCCAGCGCCACAACAAATTCTTTCGGCTCTGGCCAGGTCCTTATTTGAATAAATTCATATGCATAAATGGGGCACAGTCCGCTATGGAATGGTAGTGGTAGTGAAAGTCAACTGCAGCTGACAAAATCAACAACCTGCCGCTTGCCAGTAATTGAGTCAAAGATCCAGGTCTAAAGATACGACTGCCGTTGGTCAAGTCCGTCCGTCCAGAAACTTCACGAGCAATTTACTCGCTGCGTATCAGGAGCCCGTGCTAATGAAGTTACCTCTGTCCAGTGGCAGGAGCAGTTGACTTTGCATTGGGAGTCGCAGTCGTCGGTCAGTTGTAGGTGCAATAAAGCGAGCACCCGGATCCGGCTATCGCACACCAGTTGAACGAGTGAACGGCTGGCTGGGCCCAGGAAACGGTATGGAGTCGAATGGAATGGAATGGAATGGAATGGAGTAGTGGAGAACGCCATGCGATAGTCTTTGATTATATCACACCAGACGCAATCCGGACTCTGTCTGTGTGTGCTGCCTGAACCCGATGCCGGAGTTGTCGGAGTGTTTGCTTTATTTATGTGCCACAAACAAACAGCCGAACCCGGACATTACTCCCCGGGGGTGCTACGCCCGGCAGTGCAACGCCCAGCTGCTGCAAATTGAGCAGCCAGCCGCAATTATTTTTACAGTGCAGAGAGAGCGAGAGAGAGTCAAGAGTTGTTTAAACACATTCCCAAATTGAACTCCACTACGTTTGGCATTTTCCCCGTGCGAGTTCTTTTTGAGTACTTTTTCGAGTCCATACTATTATAATGCATGAGTACGTTAAATATGTGATTATCGCTCTTTGCAGCGAATACATTAAATATATTAACTTTCAAATCAATTTATTGATTGGTCCCTAGAACAACACTCTTCTATTAATACATTTCAAATATTATCTTCCCGTAATCCTATGCGGATTTGTAGCACAATCAGATCGATCAAATTCTATAAACCTGTGATAAATCAAGTCATTCGGTGTAACAAAGTCGTGTTCATGATACTTCACTCGACATTAGCTTGTTGATTTTGGGACGGACCGTTTCGATGATGATGGCTTCATTCTTGTAAAATCTTATTAACTTTCATTGTTGTTGCCACTGCCACTGCCACTGCCACTGCCACTGCCACTGCTGCTGCTGCTGCCATGTATCAACTGTCAGGATGAAGTTTTGTCTCGCACGTTCTGCTGCCAACTCATCAGAGTGGACCCACATTCGAGGCCGCAATGCCCGACCTCATCATTGTGCTTACAGTTCATTTGATATTAATATAGACGCTCTCTGGTCTCTGGCCAGTAGGTGCTTCTGATGCTGGTGCCACAGGAGCTGCTGCCTCTGGACCGCCTCTGATGTTGCCGCTACATATGTTTTCATTTGTTTGACGCTGATGATGACAACCCTCATCAAAAGTTTGCACCGATGGCCGCTCGATTGCCCGGGCGAGTGGTCAACGGCTGTTGACAGGCCACTTTGACATCGTGTGGGTTCGGGTTCCGGTGTCCGTGGGTCCTGTGCAACTGTAGTATGTGTGCGAGTGTCCTGACAGTGATACATAATTAAAAAGTAGAGGCAAGCGGGTGACTGAGATAGCCATTTGGGGGGAGGCCAGGACAAAGGCTAGGGCAACTTTTGATGCCAGTCACAGATACACATATGTATGTACCCCCTCGCACATACACAATTTAACTTAATGGCCAAAAGGGACAAAAGTTTGTGATTTTCAACATAAAAGTAAACAAGTTGCTTCCAGGTAATTTATTAAGCTTCGGCTCCACCTACCTCTGTAGCACAAATTGGTACAATCTTCATGGCCTTCTCAACAGAGAAGTCAAACTAAATGAAGCAATTGAAAAAGGCAGAGAAAAGAAAGCAGCAAGCATATGAAGGTGCAAAGTCAATGAAAATCAAGTGCCACAGAACCCAAGGCCTAGCCCCAGCCCTATCTCAGCCCTGAAGCTTTTCCGACCTGTAAGAGAGAAACGAAACACACATAGAGAAATCATTTGTAGTAATTGAAATCGAACAAAGCAGAAGTTGCACAGTTCGAA